GTAAGTACATGTGTCTGGTTTCCATGTTCCTGTACCACCCAGAGAGAGGAACCACCTACCTGGCAGACATGACCCATGATCGGGCCCAGCATTGCATGGAGCCACTGCGAGGCCATCTTTACGTCGCCGGTGGTGTGTGTAACCTGCGGACGTTTTACACTGACCAACAGGCCTGTGAGGTGTACGATCCTGTGGTTGATTCCTGGACTGCTTTCACCTCTCTGCCTGTTCCTCATGTGGGCGCAGCCTCCGCCGTCCTGGAGGAGAAGATATATGTTCTTGGAGGATACTGCCAGGACGATTACAGTGAGTCTGGACTGGTCCACAGGTTTGAACCGATCACACAGCGATGGGAGACGATGGGAAAACTGCCTGGGGCTGTTACTGACATACGGGCATGTCTGCTCCGATTGCCCCCGCACTTTAGGCTTTAGTAACTGAATGGGCAAGATTACCTTTTTTTAAAACCTCTTTTGTGTGATCTGTTCCCCAAGTTGGATTTATTATTGTCAAATGTGGGTTGGCTAAAAAAAAAACGGTTGTTTTGTCAGATATTTTGTTTAAATGATAGAAATCTAAGTTCAGAATGACTTGGATGTAACCAATAGAATTGTTTTGTCTCTTCATTTTCTTGAAAAATAAACTATACTTAACAGTAGGATTATGTATACGATCCCAAATACTTGTTGCTATATATTAAATATCCCAAGAGTATAATTACCTATCAACAGTTTCTCACAATATGAAATTAATCTCTGCACTTAATTTAATGATAACTCATGGATATGAATAAGAGTTACTGACTGCATTAGCAGAATTACAAAAATAACTACTTGACACAACAGACGTTTTTAAATGTTCATTTTGTCTGATATAAATGCATGATCTTAATTTGACTTTTGTCTCGTGTTTTAGTGCAGAACCGTGTGATTATTTTGTAAGCACAAAGTAAAAGGATGTCTATCAACAGAAAAATAAACAATATAGTAATAGTTACTATTCATATTGACCTCAGTTTCACTGTTATTTTGTATTTTCTTCAGTTTAGCTTCAGTGCTCCAGGGCCTCCAATCGAGCTCGGAAAAGTTCCTTGGTTTTCGAGTTACGGTGGGAACACAGCCTCAGTTTCCATCTCTGTCGAATTCCATCTCAGTTTGGGAATACATCCTTTCAAGGTTTTTAAATGCACTTGAAAATGTGTCACACCTCCGTCTGTGTGGTAGTTACAAAGATACGCATTGGTGAGCATTTTCAGAGACAAAAGATTAACACACAAAAGTTAAGGTTCCTGTACAGTAGCTGGAGAAAAAGCAGTAAGCTCATGAGGCAGCTCCTTTTTATTTTAATAGGAGAGCTTATTCATGACAATAAGGGTTCAGCAAAAGCTTTTTTACATTGAGGGGATTTCCCTCGCCAATTCAAACAAACAACGAGGAAAGAAGTTAACAGGAACATTTTTAAATTGTATTTCATGTTTTATTTTAAGTGTCATGGGTTTATCAATGAGGAACATGAGATGGAGAAAAACAATGGTTACGTATGATGTTGGAAGGAGGTTGTAGAAAGAAAAATTCTCAGGATACCTTTTGATCTGCAGAGACGTTATTAGCTCAAAGCAATCCCAAACGATGAAGGCTTCAAAACATAGTCTTAAAATTAGACTATATAACAATATGAACTATAACTGTGTGAACATTCTCAATGTTAAAGGTCACCTATTATGCAAAATCCACTTCTTCATGTCTTTTATACATAAACATGTGTCACCTCTGTGTAAAGAGATTCTGAATTTCTTGTGTAACAATTAGCCAATAACCAACCAATGTCAGGCCCGTACCCAGGATTTCGTAAATACCGAGGTCCAAAACATGCTAGGGGAGCTCGGGGACAAGCCCCCCCAAATTATTTTGTGCACACAAAAGCATTTTACTCTGGACTCGGCAGGTGAAAAACTAAAGAGGGGCTTCCACATGTGGCAGACCAGGTGTTGGTGCTGTCGGATTTGGAACCCCCACTATAACTTTGTCCAAGATATTCGTACCGCTAACAAAATCACCTCTAGTTTGTGCACACAAAAGCATTTTACTCTGGGCTCAGCATATATACATATATATATTTTTGTATTATTCTTTACCTTTCACAAGCATTAGCCTACACATCATTATTTACACAACATGAAAATAACTTAATGTAAAGTATTTATTTCACCTTCCCTTATTATACATCCATGGGTATAAGTCCGGACTGCGGCTGTTTGTTGATAAATTGATGTTGTCTTCTGCTGTTTGCTTTAATGTAGGCTACTTAGTTGTGCATTGCCCCCACCGCCAGTAAGTGGAAGTACTACAAAGAACCCTGTTAATTATGTGCAGTTATTTCACAAGTTTTATAATATACACCTCGAAAAGATTTAGTACGGCCATGACCAAGGTAACCCCCCCCCCCCCCCCCCCCCTTATCACCTGAATCTCCTCCTAGAGCACCATTGTGTTCTTTGTAACCAAATCTCTCTCAGAGGAGCGTGGGGAGGGGCTCCTTATTTTCATCTAAAGTAACAGACAGAGAATCAGCACTTTGCAAACAGGGCTGAAACAGAGGGGATTATGGGATGCTGCAATGATCTGTTTGGTGTTTGGAGCCAAACACTTCAGAGACATGTTCTGTATATATCTGAGACCTATAGTATATTGATAAAAAACAGTAAAATAGGAGTCCTTAACTTTCCTTTATTGACATTAATTCCTGTCACATTTGACACATTTCCATGATATTTTAATGGCAACACACTCACTAAATCCTCCCAGTAGGCCTGTTGGGACACAACTAGAACTTGGGTCCCTGAGGGCCTCAACTCTGCTTACTCACTGAAATCCAAGAACCCCTGAACAAAGCAGCAATAAAAGCTGCTGGGGAAAAGCCACCCTCCAAAAACTGCTAGGTGAATATTCAAGATGCTACAGATTTAAAACCGAGGAAATGGAGCTAAAGGTGGTGTGTCTTCTGACCCTCCTGGGTGTCTTGTTTGTGGAGCCAGGGTTTGGACAGAGAGGCGACATTGATATTAATGAGTGGCTGAAGGATAAAGTGGAATTTATCAAGAAATTGGAGGAAAAACTTAAAGAGGTAGAAGGACGGCAGAATGATTTTGACGCTCTGGAGATCAAGCTCAACGCGACTGTGGACGAGGTGACGAGACAGAAGGCTGAAATGGACAAACTGAAGAAAGAGAATGAAGGTACATGATTCATAAGGATACATTTTAACACCCATTGTTAGTAATGTATATGCTTTTGTCAAACATTCATTTTGTATTTCTTTATTTCTAGGCTTGCAAACAAGACTGAATGCCACAGAGGAGGAGGTTGATAAGCTAAAGCAGAACAGTGCTAAAGGTGAGATGACCACACTTAGGTTCTATATTTAACACAATAAAATAGTCAGGTGATAATATCGTGATAAAGACAATTTCTCTGAATATGTTGATGTTCATCTTTATATATATATCCATTTGTTCATGTAATTGTCCACAGGTGGCCCTCAGATTGCATTCTCTGCCTCTTTGGCAAACTTTGGGGAGATTTACAAAGGACCCTGCACAGACAAGGCCCTGATTTTCAAAAGGGTCTTCTCAAACACTGGCAATGGTTATGACCCAAATACAGGTTCTGTGAGCTCCTAAATGATGCGTAGATTCAGTTGTTTTTTTGTCAGGGTTGTCCGCTCTCAACTGCTTGGTCAGTATCATTTAAAAGAAGATTTGTATGACACATTTGCCCTTTGGTTGAAAGTCTTCTTCAAATCCACTATGTCCTAAGGCTTCTGGTATTTCAAACAGGAACAAACAAAGAGGAATTTGCTCCTTCTCTAGTGTTTTCTTATTACTTATATTAACCTGTAATGTGAAATGGTTCACTCAAAGTTGAACAATGTCCCCCCTAAACCCATGAGGGCTTAAATGATGTCACCTATAAGGGACTTGAGTGTGACCGGCTAGATCTTAAGATACTATAAATAGGAATAGGATGGCACTTTGCAACATATCAAGTTACAATGGTGGCGCGAGTATTGTATGCAGGTTTTTTTGTTTTATATTTTTCACTTTCACTGCCTGACAGAGTGGACAAATGCTAATTTGTTCAAAAAGCAATGTACTATTTTACTGCATGACAGTAAAAATATAAATAGAGTGAATTAACTAGATGTGTATAGGCTTGGTTTTCTCAAATGTTAATGTGTGTTTTCACACAGGTTGAACACCAATTTGCCAGTCCTCCTTGTTTACCTTTTTTAGTTAGACGCCTAGGTTCCTCTGGTAAAATAAGTTAAAGTCACAATGCTATAAATTGTGGGTAATTGCCTCAGAACAAGAATTCATAAATGTAAACACATGGAAAGTGTGCATTAAGGGCTCAAAGTGTCTTCAAAAGGGCATTCAGGCACTTGATGATTCAATGTTCAATTAAATGTATGGGGCCATTTAATGGCTCGTCCAATTAAGGTTCGCCTCCTGAATCCCCTCGCCTCCTGAATCCCCTCTGAATGTGTTATAGCAATAACCCTGAGTAACTTTGTTGCGTCTTTGTTCTGTTTCAGGAATGTTCACAGCACCAGTGAATGGTCTCTACTTCTTAAGCTTCAGTACCTATGGCTACAATACACATGTAATGGGGGCCATTTTAATGAAGAATGGCGTTAGTCAAATTTCAACCTATGATTACCCTTCAACTGACGGCTCGGACAGTAGCAGTAATGCTGTTGTTCTGCAGTTGGATGGTGGTGACAAGGTGTACATGGAACTGTGGGATAACGGCAGAGTGTTCGACAACATGAATGGACACACAACCTTCAGTGGATTTCTTGTCTTCCCTGCGTAAAAGATAGTAAACAAAGCATTGTGTTGTGCTTTTAAACTGAAGAGAGATGCTCTTGTAAAGCATAAAGCCTTTGCTGATGTGGCAAACAATGTTTGACTGAAAATAACACAAAAAAACACATGCATGTTTTAAATTTTCGAGTACATTTTATTGAAAATGTAAATAAACTTACTTAAATGCCAATCCAACTTTTACATTGTCTCTTTTCCTGGCGACTGCACCCTCACTAAAACATGAACCATTTCATCACAGTACTTTTTGAACACGGTTCAGTTATTGAATATATAGCCCCAAGATGCTCTATATTACACATATATCGAACCTTTTGCATGCAACTTTGATTTATGCTAAATGATATCAAGATATCAGGTTTTCGTGAGAAGAAACACTATGATCCCAATTATTATTACAAGTTTTTCTTTAAAATCTCTTTATATTTAAGCTGTTTTACACCCACACTTACCACCTTAACCTCAGTCAATATCTCCAACTTTAATCTTTGTTTGTTTGGAAAATGAACCCCCTCATCATTCTTTGTGATATTATTTTTGAAACTACAGTAACATTGGCCTTAAACCTCACAATATCTTACATACGGAAATGTGATGGCAAACACAGCACAGATGCCCGTATGTCACTGTTCGGACCAGGCATCTTGCCCGTGTTCTCCCATCTCTTTGTGGTGGGATCATAACAATGGACCAACTTAGTTTCACTGAAGTCCTCATGGCTGTATCCACCCAGCACATAAAACTTTCCCCCCAAAACTGCTCCTCCTGCACCTACATGTGGCACCGAAAGAGATGTGAAGGCAGTCCAGGAGTCAGCCACTGGATTGTATACCTCACAAGTTAGCAGGTCAACCATACCCATGTTATCCTCTGAAGTGATTCCACCCGCAACATAAAGACGTTCGCCCAGGATCTCCATGCAGTGACGGGCTCGAGGTTTAGCCATGTTTGCCAAATAAGTGCTTCCTGTCTCTGGGTGGTACAGAAACATCGATGATAGATGTTGGGAGATGCTGCTCAGCCCTCCTGAGATAAATATCTTCCCTTGAAAAGCCTTTGCTACATGGCCAGCCAGAGGCAGATCCAAGGGCCATGTGAAGCTGAAAGAGAAGACATCTTTTAAATATCTGACAAGTCAAATGTGAAGTGTCAGGTTATAATTGCATTCTGCAAACCTTTTTCTAATTCTGATCCCTTCCTCAATGTTAGATTTCTCAACATAATTCAGTTCACCCTGTTGCAACTGCATTTCATTTTATGTTTAGGTAATGAGAGATTTTGAAAGCACTATTTTTAGCAGTATTGTACAGGTTCCCTAGTTGATAGATGGTTTTTAAAGAATTAAGCAACACTATACCCTTCCTTCATATGCTTTGTTTTAAATCAACATTCCTTCGCACGTACCTCCAAGAGTTCTCAGTGGGGCAGTATCGTTCCACACTCTCCATATATTCAGGGTCACAATGTCCGCCAATGGCATATATCATTCCATCCAGAACCACCACAGAGAAAGAGCCTCTGTCTTTCTGCATTTCAGTCAGGCTCTCCCAGCTGTTTTGAAGAGGGTCATACCTACAGACATGGTCAAATGAGACAAATCTAAGTATACAGGCATTAAATCATGTTTTCAAACTCTAACTGTGTCCTCACTCACCTCAAAACAGAGTTCAGGTTGTCGTTGATGCCGTAATAGTGCTTGCCTCCCAACACGTATAGTTGTCCTTTGAGGACTGCCACCTCATGAGAGAACCTCTCTCGCTCTGGCATCTCTGCCAACTTTTTCCAGTCCATGGCCTTTTTCCGCCCTGTATAGATCCTTAGCGCATTTAAACCCCAGAGTTCTCTGCTGATGCTGCGTCCCCTCAGGTCTTCAGAGATCTGATCACCTCCAATCAAGACCAGAGTCTCTTTCGGTTGATAGATCCGGCAATGACTCTCTTTGGAGCGGAAATCATCAAGAATTGTCTCATAGAGCCCTGACAGGTTGTGATCGGACCACATGGTCAGATATTTGAACTCTTTGAATTCCTCGACTGTCATCAGGGGAAAGTTGATGGTTTTCATTAGTCTTTTAGCAAAAGGCAACGTTGTTTTGGGCTTTGCCTCGATCCATGCTACCACTGCTTTGAATACAGCGAGCTCAGATGAAACACAGAGTGACGGACTCTTCAGGTACTTTAGGAGCTTTTTGGCTGACAAGTCGTTGAGCTTTGAGACGCATGCAACCTTTTGGAAATTCAGCAGGACAAAATCATCTGCGACTTCAAGAAGCTGCGGCATCTCGTAGGCCTCTGCAAAAGATGCCACATCCAGGCAGGAGTGAGGATTTATTTCTTGACGCAGAAAGTTAAGACACAAGGAGAGGGCCGGTTGGTATTGGAGCTGGAGAGCAGTGCAGGTGATTTCGAAAACACATGTCCAGCTGAGGGGGAGAGTCCCGCTGTAAGAGCAGTCAATCAGCACCTCCAGCTCTGAAGCCAAAAGGAAAGGAAGGGTCACGCAGGGCTGAAAGGTCTCGATCATCCCAGAGGTGAACATGCCACGGAAGAAGTCAGTGCACACAGCCAGGATGACTCTGTGGACTGAAGGATGGACGATAATAAGTACATTATACACCAATTGTAATGCCAGCTAACATGAACAGGACTGTCAAAGAATATTTCTGTCTTTACTTCTAGATATTTAACCTTTTCTGTGTGTTGACGTTTACGACCAACCATAAGTCTGGTATCTGTCTTAAGGAATGGGAAGTCTCAGCTATTGTTGACATTACCAGTTTTATGGCCTGACCTATCGGTCACAGAGGGTTTTAGGATTGGGAGAACGCTGGCTTCTAAGCACCACAGACAAGTGATTCAGTATTTACAGATGTTGGCGATATCTCCAGTGTTCCTAGGTGTTTACACTAGTTCAGTGGTTCCCAAACGGTGTGCCGCGGCACACTGGTGTGCCGTGAGGCAAGTCCGGGTGTGCCGTGGGATTTTGTGACAACCATACGTTATTATTGCAATATACAACTACACAAAAATAATTATTTTTAAATTTACTATATCAGTACTTTGTAGGTTTATATGTACGTAATCTGCGCGATTTGCGCGTCCACATCTCAACGTGCAGTGCTGCATTTCATGCTGAGTCGGCGATAACTTTCGAGGGGTGGAGGTATGCCCATTATTTTGAGTTCGTCCGAAGAATAGACAGGAATGTGACGGTGAGGTGCAAACTGTGTCTAGGCCAGAAGCTGTTATCCACTGCTGTAAACACCACGTCAAACCTCAACAAGCACCTGCAAAGAACACATGCTTTTTTGTTTATATCACGGAGTCTGTTCTTCTTCTCTGTCTTCCGGTTGTTGCCTGTTTTGAATGACAAATACACACTACCGCCGCCTGCTGGTAAGGAAAGTTATTGCCACTCACGCATGCGCAGTTCGTACGTGCTCGGCGAGTAAAGTAACGAGTTACTTTATGTAGATAGTAACGAAGTAGTACAATATATTACTTTTTTTTTAAAAAGTAATATGTAATATATATATATTACGGTATACGACCCCATCTCTGGAGTTGGCGTTCTCTACTCTGGTTTACATGAAGAACAACAGGAGGTCACGGCTCTCTGTTGAACAGGACTTGCGAGTGGCCCTCTCCTCAGTGCCACCAAGGATTAAAACATTCTGCGCGCCCCGACAGGCACATGTATCTCACTAATTTGTAAGTCGGCAACAATATTTACAATAGCACATGTTTCAATGCTGATTGCTGAAATGTTACATTTATAATTTGTAGTTCAGGTGGTCAGGGAAGCCGTCCGACTGAAGAAGGAGGCCTTCAGGGATTTGTTATCCCGGGGGACTCCCGAGGCAGTTGCAAGGTACCGACAGGCCCGAAGGGCAGCAGCCTCATCCGTGGCCGAGGCAAAGCAGCGGGTGTGGGAGAAGTTCGGAGAAGACATGGAGAAGGACTTTCGGGCGGCACCAAAGTTGTTCTGGAAAACTGTCCGACACCTCAGGAGGGGGAAGCAGGGAACCATCCAAGCTGTGTACAGTAAGGATGGGACGTTGTTGACCTCAACTGATGGAGTGTTAGGGCGTTGGAAGGAACACTTTGAGGAACTCCTGAACCCGACAACTCCGCCCTCTATGTTAGAGGCAGAGCTGGAGTATGACGGGGGATCAACACCAATCTCCCGGGGGGAGGTCACTGAGGTCGTCAAACAACTCCACAGTGGCAAAGCCCCGGGGGTGGATGAGATCCGCCCGGAAATGCTGAAGGCTCTGGGTGTTGAGGGACTGTCATGGTTGACACGTCTCATCAACGTTGCGTGGAAGTCGGAAACAGTACCGAAGGAGTGGCAGACCGGGGTGGTGGTCCCCCTTTTTAAAAAGGGGGATCAGAGGGTGTGTGCCAATTACAGAGGCATCACACTACTCAGCCTCCCCGGGAAAGTTTACTCTAAGGTACTCGAAAGGAGGGTCAGGCCGATTGTCGAACCTCAGATTGAGGAGGAACAATGCGGATTCCGTCCTGGTCGTGGAACGACGGATCAGCTTTTACTCTCGCAAGGATCCTGGAGGGGGCCTGGGAATGCGCTTATCCGGTCTACATGTGTTTTGTAGACTTGGAGAAGGCGTATGACCGAGTTCCCAGGGAGTTACTGTGGGAGGTGCTGCGGGAGTATGGGGTGAGGGGGTCTCTACTCAGGGCCATCCAATCTCTGTACTCCCAAAGCGAGAGCTGTGTCCGGGTCCTCGGCAGTAAGTCGGACCCATTTCCGGTGAGGGTTGGCCTCCGCCAGGGCTGCGCTTTGTCACCAATCCTGTTTGTAATATACATGGATCGGATTTCGAGGCGTAGTCATGGGGGAGGGGGTCTGCAGTTCGGTGGACTAAGGATTGCACCACTGCTTTTTGCAGATGATGTGGTTCTAATGGCTTCATCGGTCTGCGACCTTCAGCACTCACTGGATCGGTTCGCAACCGAGTGTGAAGCGGCTGGGATGAGGATCAGCACCTCCAAATCTGAGGCCATGGTTCTCAGCAGGAAACCGATGGACTGTCCACTTCAAGTAGGGAATGAGTCCTTACCCCAAGTGAAGGAGTTCAAGTATCTCGGGGTCTTGTTCTCGAGTGAGGGAACAATGGAGCGTGAGATGGGCCGGAGAATCGGAGCAGCGGGAGCGGTACTGCAGTCGCTTTACCGCACCGTTGTGACGAAAAGGGAGCTGAGCCAGAAGGCAAAGCTCTCTGTCTACCGGGCCATTTTCGTTCCTACCCTCACCTATGGTCATGAAGGATGGGTCATGACCGAAAGAACGAGATCGCGGATACAAGCGGCCGAGATGGGTTTTCTCCGCAGGGTGGCTGGTGTCTCCCTTAGGGATAAGGTGAGAAGTTCGGTCATCAGGGAGGGACTCGGAGTTGAGCCGCTCCTCCTTCGCGTCGAAAGGAGCCAGTTGAGGTGGTTCGGGCACCTAGTTAGGATGCCACCTGGGCGCCTCCCTAGGGAGGTGTTCCAGGCACGTCCAGCTGGGAAGAGACCAAGGGGTAGACCTAGGACCAGGTGGAGGGATTATATCTCTTCGCTGGCCTGGGAGCGCCTTGGGATCCCCCAGTCAGAGCTGGTTGATGTCGCCAGGGAAAAGAAAGTTTGGGGCTCTCTGCTGGAACTGCTACCCCCGTGACCCGACCACGGATAAGCGGAAGAAGATGGATGGATGGATGGAGTTCAGGACCATGGACAATGCAGCTTCCTTGCATTGACAGTTCTCTGTGCTGAATTTCTGCTGAGTTTCCTTAGCCTCATTTTTAATTTTGTGACCTGTCTGGTTTAAATGAGTGTGTTGCTGCTTTGATGAAGCCTAATTTGGTAAAGTTTCAAATTAATTTCTGAAATATTTCGTTAATAAATATTTCACGAGTAATATAGTTGTCTTTGTCACATTTTATTTGGCATTAGTAAATAATTATGCACATTTACAGATATTTTACATGATATGAGTGATAACACGTGTTATAAGGGCTATTTTTGCACAATAGGTGTGCCTTGAGATTTTTACTTGTCCTTTGGTGTGCCTTGGGCACAAAAAGTTTGGGAACCACTGCACTAGTTAACAGGTCTATCTAGAGAGAGGCTTGGCAGATTTGACATGGCAACCCACCAGGGCAGTCAGAATCTCTGGCTGTGTGACTTGTGATGTGAATTTCTCCGACCGATACTTGTAAATAAACATCAGTGTTTGACATCAAAGCTCCAACTCTCCTCGTGTCTCTCTGAGTCCTGACTCTCCATTGCTGCAGAAGTTTCCCTTACAAGGACTCTAAAGGGTTGATATACATATAGTAGGAGAGACATTTAATCTAAGACATTGTACAAGTCAATTATTGTACTCTACTCACCATGAAAAGATCCTCCTGGAGCTTCCAGAATGACATCACAGCCTACTCTCTCCATGCACAGCCGTTTGATGGACTGAAGGCTGATTTTCATTTGTTCTGCTGCCGACATGTTTACCTCTTTTTTCTGCCCTTCAGTTTTTGTGGACTTTTCCTCTACCTCTTTGCAGAGATCCAGAACCCTAGGGGCACCCAATGATTGAGCCGCCATCTTTATCTGGTGCAAAGTGTTCATGTTCAAACACGAAATTAGTCCAGTGTAGGCAAACTCCACCACTGCTTTTAATCCAACGTGATCCACCTCTGGACCCAGAGACATTGACCACCTTTGGAATCCAACACTTGGTTCTTTGCTCTCATCAACTCTATGTACATTTCTTTGAATAAGGCTCTCTCGGATATAGGAGCAAACAGCAGCCAGGACAGGGGAATGTATGTTGAAAGTCTTCCCATCCTCTGTGCTCAAAATAAGGTCAGTGAGAAGGGAAGAGTCACTGAACTCTGTCAAGGTGCGGAAAAGGTTTGTTGGATGATCACCTTTGCAGTAAATCTTCACCACATCTTCGTAATTAGCATCTGCTTCTTTTTCCGTCCAATGTTCTGCATCCTCATCCACAGTAGACCCTTCCTTATCCTTCTGAAGCTTTTCCTGATCAACTGTGAATCTAGTTTCTTCCTCAGCTGTCAACTTCTTACCTTTCTCTTCCTTGTTTTTTCTGTCAAAGTTACAACATTCATTTTCTTCATTGACTGTCTTGTGTCCTCTACTTGAACTTTCTTGGTTTTGTTCAATGTTGTCACCCTCAATTAATCTCACATGTTCTCTGCTTTGCTCCTGTTGCTCCTCTTCCCCATCATTTTTCTCCTCGACAAGCGCTCCTTTCCTCAATTGCCGGTCTTCCTCCGCATCCACCTCATCATCCACCTCATATCTTCCTTTTTCCTCTGCGTCCCTATAATACTCTTCTTTCTGCTCTTCCTCAATTTCTTCTGCTTCTGTCAAATCCATGCCCACTAGGCACAGATTAGCTACTACTGCCATAGAGTATCACACTAATGTGCTAATCCCTTAAAACATGTACACCTGTCGAATGGAATAGATTGCACATCACTTACTTTTTGCACGATTTATGAGGAAAAACGCACAAAGAATATCATGTTTATGTCCAGTAGTAATCCACTCTTTTGATGCTGGTGTTGCTGCTGAAAGTCTTTTACCTTTAAGCTTAGCCGTCTGCAGACATCAGCTGTTTGCTTGTTACTGTCCTGCCTCTCCCTCCTCCTTTATGTGGTGCATGCATAAAGATTTGACCCAAGCAAGTTTTATAAAATGAATGATCTAGACCTAAAGGCATCTGGATTGGTGCCCGTCCGAACCAAAACACCTCAAGGGGACATTGGCTCCTTCAGTCTGGGCCATATGACTCTGAGATCATTATTAAATGCCTCGAGGCTTACCAGCGGGATCACATTGCTCCTCCACGTCCAAAGACAAAGGAATCTGGGTCAAGGCTCAAGAGATGTGAGGGAATTGAGGAGGCCGAAACAAAACAAGGACACATACACCTGTCGCCTTTTATTACCGACAGAGAAACAGCTGGGTCAAACTGTCACCTTGACTTGATATATAGTTCTGTATGTCAGAAGTAGAGTAGCTGACAATAAACCTATGACCTCTCCTTGTGGATTGTTTGAATGCCATCGTGTTGTGTTAGCCATACATTCATAACTGTTTGTTGGTCCTTCTTAATAACCTCTGCCTAGTTTCAAACTCTGTTGCAGGAAAAAATCTCATTATTTCATTTGATCATTTTCAAACACTATAGTATTTTTCAAAACAAATGTAATAGTAAGCTAATGTTTGGCTGTGTTGGCTGATTTCTTGTTGGAAGGTAGGGTTTGTTTTATTGATCTCTCACAATCAGAAATATCGGGCCCAATGTGAGTGTGACAGCTCTTGTAGTGTTTAGGATCAGTTACACCGACAATGTTCACATTGATCAAGGAATTATGTTGGCTCGAGAGTTGTTATTTCAACTGAGACTAACCTCGTCCATGCTTGACACCATTTTCTTGTGTTGCTGTTTTTTATGAATGTATGTCCCCATTCTTAATTCCACTTCTCACGGTAATTACTGTCATTCAAATGGTTACATTTCAGAGGTCTGCAAACAGCCTACACTTAAAGACAAATTCATTTTCCCTGGTCAAATATCTTCAACCTTGGGCCTCTACTTGCTCTGAAATAACACTGGTTCAATTCTATCAACACAGTGAGTTTATATTGAGGAAGCTTTGAAGTTGAAGCACTGAGTGGGCAAGTTGGAAATGAAACAGGTGGGCAAAACATCGCTGTAAAACACACTCCTACCTGAGGACACAAGGACTCTGCTCCTTTCACAGTTCAAACCGGAGAGACGTGATGTAAGGAATACATATTTATTGTTTACACGTCATATGAATGAAATGATTGCCATGATAATACAAAAGGAGAATAGAATGGTGTTTGGCGATTAGGCCCCGGTTTGCAGGATAATCATTCAGGAGGGAAAGAACCGCTCCGATGAAATCCCCGGGGTCTAGACACTGGTGGTGGTGATAAGTAGGTGGGACCGGTCTGGAGAAGGAAGTTTAGCTTTGTCCTGGAGGAGACGGGAGGCGAGAGGGGTGGAGGCGAGTTGCGTGTAGTCATCTGCAATGACAACTGACAGGGAGGAAGAGCAGGTATTTAAGGAATTTAGCCTGTGCAGCAATTGGCTGCTGAGGGGTGATGCCCTCGTATTTAATGAGGGGGGAAGGGAGCCATAGAGTGACGTGTAAGTGACTCATATAGGTCTTCCTTATTGAACTTGCGCTAAAGCTTTCATTTGTTGACATGTGAGGCACTGCACACAAACACACACACACACACACACACACACACACACACACACACACACACACACACACACACACACACACACACACACACACACAAACTTACTGTGCAGACACACAGGGAAGTTTAACCATCAGACGAGTGAACCCATATGCAAAAATGGAAGTTAAATGCATTTAAACAAATTGAGAATATTGTGACCCTTTGAGACATTCTGAAGTTAGCATTTAAGTGCTGTAAAGCCCCAAATATATATAGATTGATATATATATATAAAAAGCCTCAAAATCAGGGGGGATTAGAGGATAGCGGATTTTAAATTCATAGCAAAGGAAACATGTTTGTTTACCACCATGTCCACATTCTGAGTTTGAAACCCAGCAGATGTTGCATCACCACATTCACATTATTATCACCCACAGTGAGTGCTTTGCTCTGGGCAGCAGCTCACACAATTTACTTATGAAAAGTCTGTTTCCTCTGCAGTCCTGATTGTTACCATGGCAACCCACGCAGTGAGAGGCGGAGTGAAGAGCGCCAACACTGCTGGGACAAGAGGCCGAGCTACATTCTCAACCCAGTCTCATGGCATTTCGTGTTCACCAACACGATTTTTAATCTATTGATTCGTGTTCACCAACACGATTTCCCCCTTTTTTTCGTGTTGCACAGCACGATTTGAAAAGCAATGTATTTCTACTGCCTGCAGCACGTCTTTTTCTCCGGTCGGGTCGAGGAAGACCGGAAGCTGTGTGGTTCATAAAAACATGTTCTTACTCAATATCAAGCCACAATTATTGCTTTTATTTTAAATCGTATAATTTCGGACTTTTGTTGCCGTCTGTGAGGAAAATAAATGGGGCTCAGAGCCTCAGGATACTGAAATTTGTATTTTTCAATATTTTTTTCCTTCTAATTTGTTATTCTTTTCAAAATAACACACTGTTATTTACTCACCAATAACACACAATTATCCTTGCTTTTATTTATTGGTTTAATTCCATAATCTCTGGCTTTTTTGGCGTCTGTCAGGAACTGAATTTCAAAATAAAAATAACCGGAAACAGACGTAGGCCTATAAGGGACATTTCGAGCATCATTGCGATTGTCAACATTTCTGAGTTTAGGATGGCCGAAGACACTACACTACCCATAATCCCCAGCTATCGTTTAGGACTACAGTCCCCGTAAGGTTACGCAGAGCGTCAAACAGCTGTGTGAAATGGAACGAAACCACACCAGACTATCCAAAACTGGAATCGAACGCCCCCCCAGAACTACACATGCTGGCTATTGTGTTTCACAAAATGTTCTATGGGACGTCTCTACTGAACGTTTTCGTTTTTCCCACAATTAGAAGTTGCCAGTATTAAACACATTGGTGTTATCAAATGTAAAACATATAATTAATAAATGGGTGAAAATCGCTTGTGTCCATAATGCGCAGCATTAATATATACCCACATGACAGCTCATTGTTACTTTGTAATTCTACTCCACTACAATTCAGAGGTTAACCCTCTGGAGTCTAAGGGTATTTTCTCGATTTTTAGATGTTTTCTTAAATCACCTTTTAAATGTATTTCTTCTAACATGGCACCCATGTGTTACATATCAAAATGTTCAGGACAATCTCTAGTATTGCTATATATGCAAAGTACTCACCTTAGAGCACTGTTTGATGAGATAAGTAGCTCAAAAGCTTAAAATGTGACATCCGATTTTCGGAAAATCTTCAAAACCTTTGTGAAAACACAAATTTACTCATGTGATCGAATTGTTTTGGTGTTTTAGATGTGGTTACCAAAGTCTTAGGATCACAAAAGTGTGTTATTCATGTCTAAAATGAAAAACATTTAATTCGAATTTTGAGTAAAATAGGTGTTTATCACTCTACTTTCACCACAGCAGGGACTGAGATACATTAGGACTGAATAATGACTTCATATTACATACCAAGGTTCATGTGATGTGTACAAATAGAAATTGAGCCTTCAACCTTTTTTTTTCAACCAACAATTTATTATAAATATGTTTTTTTCAACCAACTATTTATATAAATATAAGAAACTGGAAAATCTAACTATTTACAATATTGAACATCAGAACTTTCAACCAACTATTCATTATAAATGTCAAGACAGTGTCAAGGTCTTTGTCTGTCTTCCAAGACAGTGGGTCTGGCTGCTGTGAAGATGGGGGTGATGGTGCATGGGCTGCTGTGTAGGTGGGGTGTACAAGTGCTATACGAGACCTCCACGAGACCTTCTTGCTGGCTGGGTTGAAGGTGATGGCTGTGGAGGAGCCTTTGTGCTGAGGTGTATCTTGACCTGGTGGCAGCCGCAGATGGAGGTGGAGGCAGCTGTAGTGATGCTGGTCTGCTGGTCCTTGGTGTTGATGGCTCTGGTGAAGGCCCTTGAGCCACGGTAGATCTTGACCTGGGGGCCGGCACAGATGGATGTTCTGGCTGCTGGATAAACGCCGCCTGTGGGCCACTAGGCCCAGGCAGCTGTGAAACATCTCTGTAAAACAAATTAAAACGTAGGACAATAATTACAACTAATTTCATTGAAATAAAGTTCAAGTAAAATGTTGCTCAAGCACAAATAACAATGCACACATAAAAAGAAAGTTTGGGAGGTTGGAGAAGGAGTCTCTCTCTCACACACACACACACACACACCACACACACACACGCGCACACACACACACACCACACACACCGGAACACACACACTACACACACACACACACACACACACACACACACACACACCACACACAACACACACACACACACACACACACACACACACACACACACACACAACACACCACACAACACACACACACACACACACACAACACACAACACACACACACACACACACACACACACACACACACACCACACACACACACACACACACACACACACACACACACACACACACACACACACACACACACATATTTCCAGTTACTTTACATTCAGTATAAAATCACAGACACACATATACATAGGCTACATCTGATTACAAAGTCTCATCTGTACAGAACAGTATGATAAAATAATCGATGGCAAAAACATGTCACTGTAAATGTCTCCGTTGTGGGACGAATAAATAATT